ACTCACTCCCTTGGTCAGAGTGAAGACAGCTGAGACGACGACCACGAGTGCCCTCAGTGGTAAGCAACCACCTGATCAGCGTAGAAGTCGCCTCGGACTTTTTCGCCAGGGGGAACACTGTGGTATAGCGGGAGTAGTCGTCAACGACCACCAAAAAGAAATGCTCGCGCTCAGGGCCAAGGCGAGGGGCGGGGCCCCAGACGTCCAAGTGGAGCGTCTCAAAAGGCTCGGTGGCCGGACGAAGGGAGGAAGAGTGAGGGGTGGCGCGCAGCTGACCCTCGACGCAAGGACCACACGGCGGTGCAAGCAAAGGCGGCAGCGACGGCAAGACACGCGGGAGGCCTAAGACAAGACGCTGACGAGACATAGCGCGCAGATGAGGGAGGGACGGGTGCCCCGTCTGGTGGTGCCACCGAACGGTGGACTGTGCAAGCGACAGGCAGGAGCACGACGCAACAACTGGACCAGACACGGGAACCTGATAAGACACAGCTACCTCGGGGGACACAGCAACCTGGTGAGACGCAGGGACCAGATTGGGGGAAGTAACTGGGGCCGGGGGCAGGAGTCGCTGCTGGTGCCCACCAGGGCCAGTGTGAAGTGTGTAGAGACCGGAGCCCGGCTCGGCAGTAAAGGTGGCAAGAGGCGAGTAAGTGTCGCCATCAACACGCCGTCTCACCAGAGGGCTCAATCCACACACCCACGTGCTGACTCACAAGTGGCCTCATGCCCACCAAGTTCCTCGAGAACGAGGGGACGTGGAAGCCAGTCAGAGACCCAGAGGGAATAGCAGGGCACGGAAGAGTAGTAGTGTAGAGAGCAGTGACTGGTCCCGAGGTGGGATCAGCCAGGGCCACAGAGAATGGCGCAGGAAGTGGAGTAAGTGTCGTGTGGTCGTGGAAGAAGCAGTGCGAAGCCCCAGAGTCCAGAGTGAAAGACAGCAAAGCGTCCTCCGAAGTAGCGCCTGGACTAGTGTCTACACAAGTGCCTACAATAGCAACAGGCAACTCAGCAAGACTAGCACCTAAGCTAACAACACTCAAATAAACAGAGTCAGAAGCACTAGAATCAACAACAACATACATAGCATGAGTTCTTAGGAGATCAAGCAATTGAGAAGCAGACATGCCCCAAAGAGCGGAGCCGTACGTCTGAACAAGAGGTAACCAGTCAGGGGCAGGGCCGCCAACGCCTAAGGCCAAGCAAACCGTGTCAATGAGCTGAGCAAAGCACTGACTAGGAGGGTGGGTGCGACCACAAGGCTGGCCTCGGCGAGCACCTGTCAGAACCTGATAGGTGCACGAAGGGTGAACAACACCTCCCTGGGGCGGATGTTGTCCCAGCCCCGAAACCTGCTGCTGCCGCTGCTGCTGCAAGGGCTGCTGCAAGGGGAGGGGCTGCTGCTGGGCCAGGTACCACGCCGCTGCTCCACCCACCGCGGCCGGCAGACCAGGAGGAGGCTAACGAGTTCGGGTGTCGCCTCCACCAACTACAGAAGGGGAGTCACTGGCCGCTGCACGAGACGCCTCTCCAGGCCCTGCGCTCCCGCCGCCACCGGTCGGCACGCCATCCCCACCACCTCCGCTGCCAACGCCGCCACCGCTGCCGCTGCCTGCACCCTGATCGCCCCTCGTGCCACCCCTACCTCGAGACCGCGACGTAGTCGTAACAGCAGCTGCAGTCACATCAGTAGTGGCAGTGGCTAGCGAGGCAGTAAAAGTGGGCAGCTGAGGGACAGCGCACCCGTGAAACAGTGGAGGGGGCACAGCACCAGAGGCAGAGGCTATGGAGCGGAGGTTGCTCTCGACGTCCTTGAGCGCAGACTCAAGGACCTCGATAGTGAGCTCACTAGGGTGCTTCAGAAGAAGTGTGTCACAAACCGAGGCAAGGCGGTCAGGGAGGCTAGTGGCAATGAAGTAGATAGTAATCGCCATAGCAGGGGGAACCAGTGCAAGCTGTGCGTTAGTGCAAGCAGCGCGGTAGCTAGAATTGAGCAAGCGGAAGTGAGCAATCAAGTCAGCAGAGCGCTCAAACGAGGCGAGGTCAGGGAACAAGAATGGTAGGAAGAGGCGACCAAGGGAGACAGTGGTGGGAGTAGCGTAGCGGGCCTTGATCGCAGTCACGAACTCACTAGCAGTGCGAACCTGTGTGAAGTGGGTCTCCTCAGACTCAGAGAGGAGGCTGCTAAGAGCGATGCAGGCCGCAGCGTCACGCGACTTCCACGCCGTCAGGTCAGCACGCCGGCGGGTAAAGCGGTCTCTGGCGGCGTTGTCAGGGGCAGGGCCTAAAGGCGTAGGGTCGTCGGGCGCAGGAAGGTCACCAGTAGCGTGCGCTCAGAGGGACTTGCTCGCATGGACCTGACTCTCTAGAAGGCGACGTGCGCGTAGGAGCCAGACTGGAAACTCGAGCGGTCTACCGTCAGCGTCAAAACGAAGAACCCTAGGGGTCGCCATAGCAAAAGCAAAGAGGTGGGAAGTGCTGCTGCTGAAACCCTAATCACTGAGAGCGACTCAGTAGGGCGCTACGGGACATAGGGTAGGGCGCTACGGGACACAGAGTAGGGCGCAACACTGCTGGACTAGGAGGGCGCAGCTCCACGGGCGAAGGTAGCGCGACGCGACACAGCGGGTCAGGACGGGCAGCGCGATAGGACGCGACGCGACGGGACGGGACAGACTGTGCAACGCGGACGGGCAGCGCGACGCGGACGGACGGGATGGGACGGACGGGACAGGACAGACGGACGGGACGGACTGACGGACGGGACGGACGGACGGGACGGACGGACGGGACGGACGGACGGGTGGGGCCGGGACAAGACGGGACGGACGGCGCGACGCGGACAGGCAGCGCAACGCTGACGGGCGGGAGGAGACTGAAGGCGCGATGCGGACGGGCAGCGTGACGCGGACGGACAAGACGGGACAGACGGCGCGACGCGGACGGACAGCGCAGCGGGCGCTAGGGCACGAGAGCAACGTAACGGCAGGCGAAGTGGGCGCGAGGGCATGAGAGCGACGTAACGGCATACGCGATAGGCGCTAGGGGACAGTACGAGCGTAACGGGCACTAGGGTACAGGACAGGCTAGGGCGCTAAGGACGTGAACGAGAGGAACGGGATCCCACAGGATCCTAACCTAGGTGATACCATGTCAAGAATGAAAATGTTGGTTCATTGATGTGGGTTGGGGTATATATAACAAACCCTGACATCTGTACCCCCTAAGACAAACCTCACTACAGGCTACAACATTTGACACCTCCTTACGAAAGTGTGAATACATCCCAGAAATTCCGGCTGCGCAGGTACTCGGTGAGGACAGGGTAGTTTTCGATTCTGTCTGGGGGAACCCAATTGTCCTCGGTGGGCGTGCGGTCTCTCCAGCGGATCAGAAATTTGATACTCTCCACGTGGATCACGAACTCGGTGGCTCTATATTTTTTCGAGCATGATGATTGGCTATGTTGGTGGTCGTGTCATGCTATCGGGGCGGTTGCGAGGCAATTGGCAGATGGGTGGGACGTATGGGCGGAGGAGGCTGACGTGGAATGACGGTCTGACGTACCAGTCAGCTGGGAGGAGAAGGTGGGTGTCAGAAACTAACGAGCAGAAATGATTGCATTGACATCAAACTAAGTACAAGTACTAACCCTAATTGGGTTGTACCCCATATAGGCTACCCCACTACAACCTACACAACATAAGCAACATTATAGTTTGACACACCCCCATAGGCAAAGTGGGGGAGAACAAGGGGTCACAAGACCAGTCAAGAAAAGCAAAGCAAACTCAGGGTGGATCACGAAGTCACCACACACTCTAAGCACAAGCAAGTGGCCGCAAGGCCAGTTCACATGCGGAGTTACAGCTATGCGAACATGCGGTACGGTGATCACAACCTAGTAGGTGTAAGCATGCAGGTACAAGTATATAGATCACAGTGCAAGCAAAGTCACGAAGTGAGCAAGTGAGGAAAAGCAAGCACAATGCCCAACACAGTACAGAAGCGTTGATGATCACCAGGCGGAAGTGCCTTGGTGAAAATATCAGCAGTGTTGGCCCGAGTGGCCATGTAAGTAAGACGAAGCTGACCACGCTGCTGCAACTCTTGAGCAATGAAGTAACGCAGAGCGATGTGCTTCGTTTTACGCTCCAGTCTGTGCTCCTGACACAAGGAAATTGTAGCCTTGTTGTCTACGTACAGAACGGGAGGAGAACGAGGCCGCTCTCCCAAGTCGGTCAGCAGGTAGGTGAGCTGAGAGCAAGTGACCGGTAGCCAGAGGAGTGGACTGTGGCGAGAACCAAGTGAAGCCGAAGCGCTGAAGAACCTGCTGCACCATGTGTGACTGGGTCAGGGTGATGGTGCGGCGTGCTCTGTCCCGGTTGATTTGCAAGCCAAAATAGCTGCGCAGCTCACCCAGGTCTGTGCGCGTATGTCTCTTCTGCAGCTCCGACTTCACAAGGGCGAGTGCCTCAGTGTCAGCAGTGGCAAAAACAAAGTCGTCTACGTACATGAGGATGTAGAACAGCGGCAGCGAAGTTTCGGTGCGCAAAAACAGCGACGTATGTGCAATCGAAGGAGCAAACCCAAGTGCCGCAATTGTCGTTCTCAGTGTGTCGTGCCATTCACGAGGCGCCTGGAGGAGACAGTATACTGTGAGAAAGTGAGAACGAGAATGAATGAACTATGAATGAACTGAGTACAAGTACTAACCCTAATTGGGTTGTACCCCTTATGGGCTACCCCACTATAGCCTACACAATAAGCACAAGCTATATGTTCTGACACACCCCAATAGGCAAAGTGGGGGAGAACAAGGGGTCACAAGACCAGTCAAACAAAGCAAAGCAAAGCAAGCTCAGGGTGGATCACAAAGTCACCACACATTCTGAGCACAAGTTCAAGGCCACAAGGCCAGTTCACATGCAGGAGTACATATATATAAAGGACTAGACAAGCAAGAGCAGGTGTATGTATATGCAACAGTACAAGCAAGGTCAAGAGGTGAGAAAGTGAGGCATGACAGGCACAAGACCCAGCTGCGTGCAGAAGTGCTGATGATCACAAGGCACAAGTGCCTTGGTGAAGACATCAGCAGTGTTGGCCTCAGAGGCCACGTACGCAAGCCGCAACTGACCACGCTGCTGTAGCTCACGAGCAAGGAAGTAGTGAAGAGCAATGTGCTTTGTTCTGTGCTCCAGTCTCTGCTCTCGACACAAGGCCAGCATGGCCTTGTTGTCTACGTACAGGACTTGAGGAGAACGAGGCGACTCTCCAAGGTCGGTTAGCAGGTAGGTGAGCCAGCGAAGCTCCTGTGCAGCCATGGCCCCGGCGTAGATCTCAGCCTCACAACTGGAGCCAAGAACAGAAGACGAGCGAGTAGCCCGCCATGAAACAGAGCCGGAACCAAGGCTGAAGGTGTAACCCTGTGACGACCGCTGCGTAGCCTGGTCGTCAGCCCAAGAAGCATCCGCGTGCCCAGTGAGGACCACTGGACTCCGCCCTCCAAGCACTAGCCCCATGCCCGACGTACTGCACAAGTAGCGCAACACCCTCTTCGCTGCACCCATGTGCTCTGGTCGGTGTCTCCCAGGAGCAACATAGCGTGCGAGAATGCTAAGAGGGTATGCAAGGTCAGGTCGTGTGCAGGTCATCAGGTACATGAGGCAGCCAACAAGCTCTGGATACGGGCCACTCGACTCTACGGACTCATCCGAAGGCAGAGCTGAGAGCGAGTGGTGAGTAGGCAGAGGAGTGGCCTGAGGCGAGGAGTACGTGAAGCCGAAGCGCTGAAGGACCTGCTGCACCATGTGTGACTGAGTCAGGGTAATGGTGCGGCGTGCTCTGTCCCGGGTGATCTGCAAGCCAAGGTAGCTGCGCAGTTCACCCAGGTCTGTGCACGTGTGTCTCTTCTGCAGCTCGGACTTCACGTAGGCGAGTCCAGCAGTGTCAGCTGTGGCAAAGACCAAGTCGTCGACGTACACGAGGATGTAGAACGGCGGCAAAGAAGTGTCGGTGCGCAGAAACAGCGACGGGTCGGCAGTAGAAGGAGCAAACCCAAGAGCCGCAAGCGTAGTCCTCAGTGTGTCGTGCCACTCACGTGGCAATTGGCGGAGACCGTAGACTGGACGCCGGAGACTCCACTAGGTACCAGGAGGGAAAGACCCAGTGAAGCCAGGTGGGCGGCGCAGCCAGATCTCCTCGTGCAGGCTGCCCTGCAAGAAAGCTGTGCTGAAGTCGACAGAGTGCAGCTCGTAGTCATGGTGAGCAGCAACGTGTAGTAGTACCTGAAGAATGGTCATCTTTGGGGTGGGAGAGAAGGTCTGAAAGTAGTCAACTCCCTGCCGCTGACTTAAGCCACGAGCCACGTAACGCGCCTTGAAGACAGGCAGAGAACCCGGCGGCCGCTTCACCCTGAAGATCCACATGCCACTGACGATGTTCACTCCAGGAGGGGGGACAGCGTCAACGTAGGTGCCTGTGGACTTCCAGGAAGCCATCTCTGCATCCATAGCTGTCTGCCACTGAGAAGAGTAGGGACCCTCTATCGCCTCCGCGTAAGAGCGCGGAGTCGGGATGTCAAGTGCATCCGGGTCTCCCTCAGGGGTAAGCAGTACGGACACGAAATGAGGTGAAGCAGCAGCCAAGCACTGGAACTCCTCCTGCCTGTCCTCAAGGACGTCCGTGCCAAGGGCACACTCACCCTCGACGGACAGAAGACAGACAGACTCAGACTCAACGAAAAGACTAGCAGCGCAGTCTAGGCGACAGCGAGCAGCAAAGTCGACGAGCTCAGCAACTAGGGCAGACGCAGTAGTGGACTCGAAAGAAGGATCAATGACGACAGTAGCCACGAGACGCGTGATAGTAGGACTGGCAGCACGAAGAGAGTCCGACTCCGGGTTGGCAAAAGCAGGATGAGAGGACTCTGGAGGAGAAGGCAAAGGGGCACGCAGAGGAGTAGTGGACGGACGCAGAGACATCCTGTGCGTGCCAGGGTCAGGAGGAGGACGCTGACGCGAACCACGACCACTAGCGCGAGCAGCACGGACAGGCGACGCAGGGCGAGACGCAGGCTCACGACGCTCAGTAAGACCTCCAGTAGGACCAGTGTAGGGAGAAGGAGCAGGCAAAGGGGAGGTAGGCTGCAACTGTAACTGTGACGGGACTGGCTGTGGACACTCTAAAGAAGGAGGAGGACCAGTAGAAGGCGGAAGACCAAGAACCTGCTACAGGAGTGGAACAAAGTACGGTCGAGGCCGCGCGGCGACGCCAGACTCAGCAGGTACAGCACCAGTACCCCCAGTAGGAGCACACGCTCTAGCTGCACCTCCAGCAGCGCCAGAACCACCAGCAGTACCAGGAGTACCCACAGCAGGACCGCCAGCAGTAGTCTGAGCTCCAACACGCTCAGCAGCACCAGCTCCAGTCGAACCCGCAGGCCCAGCAGCTCCAGTACTCCCAGTACGAGCACCTCCGGGACCCGCGACAGCAGCACCCTCAGTAGCTGAAGAACCTCCAGCACCAGCAGCACGTCTCCAGCACCGGGCAAACCACTCGCGCAACTCCCGAGGAGAGAGTGGCTCCCGCAGAGACGGAGCACCCGGAGAACCTCCAGGCGAAGCACCTCCAAGCTCAGCACCCCCGTGCTCAGCACCCCCAGGCTCAGCACCCCCAGGCTCAACACCCCCAGGCGCAGCACCCTCCGACTCAGCACCCCCAGGCTCAGCACCCCCAGGCTCAGCACCCCCAGGCTCAGCACCCTCAGTCGCAGCACCCCCAAGCTCAGCATCCCCAGGCTCAGCACCCCCAGAGTCAGCACCCCCAGGCTCAGCACCCTCAGCAGCACCAGAGTCACCAGTGACCTTGACAGGCCTGACTGCGTCGACCTGGGACACACCTGAAGGGGACGGACCCTGGGGGGGGGAGGGTGTCTACCGGAGGGGGACCTGGTACAAGGAAGAGCGGCGGCGGGGGGAGGGACAGAGAGCGGTAGGGGAAGAGGCGGTAGTAGGGGACCGACTCGTCAAACAAGACGTCCTGGTAGGACAGAACACGGCGAGAGGTGGGGTGGTAGAACTGCCACCTAGGCGCGTCAGGGGGGAACCCCAGGAAGACGCAAGGAGCAGCACAAGGGGACAGCTTGTCTGCAGACAAGTCGCGGACAAACGCCCGAGATCCCCAGACCCGGAACGCCGACGCATCGCCAACCTTCCCTGTCCACAGCAAGGCTGGGGAGGTCTCCGGCCTAGAGACCCTGGGGTGTAGGTTGATCTGATGCGCCACGTACCTCACCGCAAACAGCGACAGAAAATGGGGAGCAGCCGCATGTATCATAGACGTACGAGCAACGTCCATGACCATGCCAATGCGGCGCTCAGCAATCCCATTTTGCTGTGGGGAGTCCGGAAGCGTGAAGGTCTGACGGATTCCTCGTGCGCGACAGTAGGCTCTCAGAAGGCCAGAAGAAAACTCTCCGCCTCTGTCCGAGTGCAGACGCAGAACAGGAAAGTCCGAGCCAAAGCTCTGCCTGAGCTGGAGACGAGCTGCGCGGATCCAGTCGATCAGCACCTCAGTGACATCACCCTTGCTGCGCAAGGGGAAGACTGCGGTGTAACGCGAGTAGTCGTCAACAACGAGCAGGAAGTAGCGCTCGTGACCCTGTCGACGGACGCGGGCTGGGCCCCACACGTCCATGTGAAGCGTCTGCAACGGGGCCTCTGTCGGAGGAAACTGGGAGGAGTGAGGGGCAGCCCGCTGGCGCCCCTCGACACAGGGGACACAGGTAGGGCCATGGCCTTGAGGAAGGGGAGGGAGGGACCGAGGGAGACCAGAAACAAGAAGAAGGGAGGCCATGCCTCTGAGCCGAAGCAGAGAGGGGTGACCAATGCGGTGGTGCCAGAGGAGATTCTCGTGAGACAGGAGACGACACGAACAGGGGGCAGACTCAGGACCAGACCTGGACGCTGCGGCAAACACCTGACCCGACGGAGTGGTCAGTGTGTACAGGCTCGACCCCGGCTGACAGGTAAACGTAGCCAGGTGTCGGCCTGTGCTAGCCTCTGTGCAGTGCGTCACCCGCTGACGCGCAGGAGTGAACTGGTGTACTCCCCCATCCTGTAGGTCAGCACCACTCACCAGGTTCGTAGAGAACGAGGGGAGGTAGAGACCAGACAGGGTGCCAGAGGGAGCCGCCGAACACGGGAGGACTGTGGAGAAGTGAGACAGGACACGACCCCCAGAGGGGTCAGCCAGAGACACCGCAACCGGCCGACTAAGCTGCGTGAGTGTGGTGCGGTCCCGAAAGAAGGAGCAAGAAGCCCCAGAGTCAAGGGTGAAGGTGAGGGAGGCCGAAGCCGGCGTAGTACCTGAGAGCGCAGACTCACCAGTACCTGAGGACGCAGACGCACTAGCACCTAGAGCAGCAGCGTCGCAAGCACCTAGGGCAGCCGCCTCACCAGTACCTAGAGCAGCAGTCCCAATGCACGGATCGGGCGGGAAACACCGGTAACAGTCACCCTCATCACTAATAGACACAGCATACATGGCAGAAAGAATAGCATCAAAATCAAGATCATAGATGGCAACACCCGCCCTAGACAGGTCGCCCCAGCGAGGGATCTCTGTGGCCTCCTGGAACTGGTGACGCCACGCGTCCGTCAGGCGGCCAAAGCAGCGCTGGGTGGGGGGCGCACCCCTACACTGCTCACCCGCACGGTCGCCGGTGCGCAGGACGTAGGTGCACGGACCAAAACCCCCACCCCGCTGGCGTGCAGTGTACCACTCACAGAGCTGCTGAGGGGACAAGGTCTCACGACCGCGCTGCTGCTGCTGGCGCGGACCACCACCGGAGCCACTCCTCTGCGTAGACCCGCGACCAGCTCTACCGCCACCCCCGCCGCCTCCGCTACTACCGCCGCCTCCACCGCCTCCTCCACCGCCGCCACCTCCGCCACCTCCGCTCCCACTGCCACCGGCGCCGCCGCTTCCGCCTCTACTGCCGCCACTGACACCTCCACCCCCACCACCACTCCCACCGCCACCCCCACTCCCCCCGCCGCCTCCACCTCCACCTCCACCGCCCCCGCTCGCCCCTCCAAGGCCCCTGCCCCCCTTGCCCTTGCCAGAGCAGCGTCTCCCGCTAGGGGCAGACGCCGCACTGACCGGCTCAAGACCAAGGAGGTCGGCCGCAGCAGCAAAGGCAACAGAGGGCAAAAGGGGGGAGGGGGAACTACCCTCAAAGATGGGGGTGCGCGGGTCACCACGAGAGGCCCCTACAGCGACTATGCTCTTCTCGGCTGCTAGGAGGGACTTCTCGAGGAGGTCAACAATGAGAGTGGTGGGACAGACTGAGAGGAAGTGGTCCCTGACTACGCGAAGGGAGTCAGGGAGGCGAGTGACTATGTAGTAGAGAGTGATGTACATGGGGGGGGGGGGGTTCTTGGCGCAGAAGTCAGCAGGAAGCGCAGCGCGGTAGCAAGTGTCACTAGTGCGGAGGTGCGTGATGAGGTCAGCAACTGTGGGAAAGGCAGCAAGGTCAGGGAAGAGGTACGGTAGCATGAGACGGCTCAGTGCACCAGTGGCAAGGGAGGAGTAGCGCGCAACTACAGCGTCGTACAAGGTCTGAGCACTCTTGTACTGACTAAAGTGCGCACGCTCGGAGGTAGGGAGGTGGCGACGCACAGCAAGACGTGCAGCAGCGTCGCGTTAGGCCCACTGGGAGCGAACAGTGGCGTCAGCATCAACAGCAGGGGCAGGAGAGGCGCCAGAGGTGAGGTCAAAGCGAGAGAGACCGTCTGCCCTATCGCACTGTAAGAACAGCTGCAGGTCATCTACCCAGACGTCAAAGTCAATGGCTCGACCCTCAGCGTCAAAAGCGAGGACACTAGGGGTAGCCATGACCACAGTAGACTAGCAGTGCAACAGTAGGGTGAGGGCAGTGTAGCAAAAGAGGCACTGTGCTCACCGGACAGGGCAGCTCGGGCGGCTCGGCAGTAGGGAGGCTCGGCAGATCGGCGGCTCGGCTACTGGGCAGCTGGGCGGCTCGGCTGCAGTGCGGCTCGGCAGTCCGGCTGCTCGACTGTACGGCGGCTTGGCTGCTCGGCGGCTCAGCTGCAGGGCGGCTCGGCTACTGGGCGGCTCGGTGCAGGGCTGCTGGGCGGCTCGGCGGCCGGCTGTCTGGCTGCTCGGTTGCCCGGGCGGCTCGACGGTGCTGCTGCAGGGCGGCGCGGAGGTCGGCTGCTCGGCTGGGTGGGGCGGGTCGGGAAGCCCGGATGGCGGGCGGCGCTGCAGCAGGTGACGGGGCCGCAGATGAGAGCGGCGGGGCCGCCAACGAGAGGGGCGGGGCCGCAGGTGAAAGCGGCGGGGCCACAGGTGAGAGCGGCGGGGCCGCAGCAGAGGGCGGCGGGGCCGCAGAGAAGGGCGGCGGGGCCGCAGTTGAGGGCGGCGGGGCTGCAACAGTTGAGGGCGACGGGGCCGCAGGTGAAAGCGGCGGGGCCGCAGGTGAGAGCGGCGGGGCCGCAGCAGAGGACGGCGGGGCCGCAGAGAAGGGCGGCGGGGCCGTAGTTGAGGGCGGCGGGGCCGCAGCAGTTGAGGGCGGCGGGGCCGCAACAGTTGAGGGCAGCAGGGCCGCAGGTGAAAGCGGCGGGGCCGCAGGTGAGAGCGGCTGGGCCGCAGCAGAGGGCGGCAGGGCCGCAGAGAAGGGCGGCGGGGCCGTAGTTGAGGGCGGCGGGGCCGCAGTTGAGGGCGGTGGGCCGCAGGTTAAGGGCGGCGACGGGCCGCTTGTGGAAGGGCGGCGCGACGCGGCCGTTAGGGCTGCGCGACGCGGCCGTAAGGGCGGGGCGACGGGCCGCTAAGGGCGATGCGACGGGCCGCTAAGGGCGACGCGACGGGCCGCTAAGGAGGGCGCGACCCTAGGCGCGCTTTGGGCAGGGGCAGGACGTGCCCCGGGCAGGAAAAAAAAAAAAAGGAGGATCGGTGGGCCCTAGGAACAGCTCCCACGAGGGAACCTGCTCGATACCATGAGAAAGTGAGAACGAGAATGAATAAACTATGAATGAACTGAGTACAAGTACTAACCCTAATTGGGTTGTACCCCTTATGGGCTACCCCACTATAGCCTACACAATAAGCACAAGCTATATGTTCTGACATACTGGCCGTCGGAGGCTCCACTGGGTACCTGTAGAATACGACCCGATGAAGCCAGGTGGACGGCGCATCCAGATCTCCTCGTGCAAGCTGCCCTGCAAGAAAGCTGTGCTGAAGTTAGCCACACTAAGCGGCAACGTGCACCAGCACGCGAAGAGTGGTCATCTTCAGGGTAGGGGAGAAGGTCTGGAAGAAGTCAACTCACTGTCGCTGACTGAAGCCTCGTGCTATGTAACGAGCCTTAAAGACAGGCGGAGAACCCGGCGACCGCTTCACCCTGAAAATCCACATGCCATCGACTATGTTCGCCCAAGGAGGGGAAACTGCGTCGACGTAGGTGCTTGTGGACTTCCAGGATGCCATCTCTGCGTCCATGGGTGTCTGCCACTGAGAGGAGTACTCACCCGCGATCGCCTCAGCGTAACCGCGCGGGGTCGGGATGTCTGGTGCATCCGGGTCTCCCTCAGGGGCAAGCAGCATGGCCACGAGATGAGGTACAGCGGCTGCAAGACACTAAAAAATTCCTCCTGCATGTGAGAGTACCACGGCTTATGCTGGCTTTGCTAGCTTGCCTGGACTTTATTATGCTATATCTTGCTTGGGTTTATCTTATCATGCATAGATGTGCTTGATTTACTAGGTTACGTGCATTCCTATATTATTCCTTAGTTATAGCACCGAGCCAGGTTACGTGTACCGAACTCAAGCCTGTTCGGTTTCCGCCGAATTGCTTTCTACTAAGTTCGGGAAGGTTCTGTTCGGGATGCTTCGCGACCCTCAGAACATTCGCGTAACACCTGGGTAAGTGGCCTTGTGTTGAGACTATATATAGCCTTGTGTTGTACCCAGGTGAAGCATTCAATTCACATTCTCTTTTATGAGCTCGATCCTAGATCCTCACACTTGGTAATCAGAGCCTGTTTACACGCGAAAGTTTTTCGACCGCAAAAACCAAGTCTTCAAAAACCGCGGGGGCGACGCCTGTTTAACACCGATTTTGGGTACGTAAAACCGGTTCCGTGTTTTTCGCTCCCCCTCGTTTTGGTTTGTTTGAATGCGCAATGTCAGGCATGGAGGGCCAAGGCGACAACTACGCGACGACGAGCAACATCGCAAGCCTCCGCACCGACATGGAGCAAACGCAGGTGGACCGACAAACACTCGAGGCCCTTCTGACACACCAACCAGGAGCCGCCACCGCGGCAGCAGCGAACGTAGCAGCGACAGCACCAGCAGCAGTGGCGACACCGACATTTCACGGACCGATGGCACCATTGTCGCCGAACCTCGAAGCACCATGCCCAAGGCTCCCCAAAGCGTTCGATCCCAGCGCGAAAGGATCTGACGTTTGATGATTCGTGGCGACCCTCGAATTTTATTTTGGGGCCATTGGCTGTTCGTCCCCGCAACACAGCGCAGCACGGATTCGGCTCGTAGCGACACTGTTACGTGGACCGGAATTAGAGTGGATTTACTACACTGACGTGGCCCGCGGGGAGAAAACGTGGCAGCAGTTTCGGGCATACCTCATCGGATATTTCGAGCTAATTAATACGACCTACATGGCGTGGCAGCAGATACACCGTCACAAATAGTACAATAGTGTAGCACAGTACACGAAGCAGATGGAGCTACAGTTCAACCGCATCACGGACCTGACCGAAGGCGAAAAAATCAATGCGTACACAGAAGGGTTAAAATTGGAGATTCGCTGACAGGACATCGCAGCGAATTACAATAGTTACCGCGACATCGTGCGTGTCGCCAAGCAATACGACGCATTGACTCGAGCTCAACCCGGAACACGACATTTCGCGCCGAAACGTACATTCGGCACGGAGCGATCGGCACCCCCCAATTCGCCGAACCGATGGACATCAACAAATACAACGTGAAGCAGTAGCCGACAAAATGCGAATTTTGCGGCGCTGCAAGGTATCACATTTTGTCGTGCTACAAAATGAAAGGGGCACGTGCGGCAATGCAGGGCGGTAACAGTGGAGCACCCTCGAAGTAAAAAAACGGGAATCGCCAGTAGCTGCGGATCGACCCGGCGATCGCGTAAAGATCCGAAAAGCAGGAAAAGGCAACGACGTGGCGACTTCGGAGCGGGTGAAAAAAGGAGAAAATAATGGCGCAAATCTAAAACGTCACGACCGGCCGGCATCTGGGGAAATCTCCGAGGCGAATGGAGGCTCCGCGAAAAAAGACTCTGCACCGACCGGGAAACTCCAGCCGATCACCCACGAAAGTAAGAATTCGTTAAAAGTATCCTATAAAGATACTCTAACGGAAAATATTGCTTCTCGGGGTTTTCAAGCCTTTTAGAAATTCAGAGGAGATTTCAAGGCTAAGAAAAAGTCTTCAAACATTATTCAGGTATCTGAGAAGTTGGGCAAACCACTCCGGAGCGTTGAATAGAGTCGTGCGTTCCAAGGAGTTAATATTCTCTCCCCGCAGCACAGTGTTAAGGCTCCCTATTGCCCACAAGTGAAGCCTACACAGCTGCAACGGCTTAGGGGAAGGTTCCAGGTCTAGACGAAGCTGAATCAGCCTCAGATAAATCCTTCTAACACTGCTCAGTTAAAAACTGATATCGAGTCAGCAGCTTCAAGCGCAGGACCTAGGAGAGATATATTCGACGTACCCTATGATCCTATTAGCGAGACCATCTATGGTTTCTCGGAGCAGCAACAACCACTACAATTCGAGGTGATCTGCAATGGGCGACATCTCCTGGCACTGGTGGATAGCGGTGCGTCTCACTCGGTGTGTGACTGCGGGACGTTGGAGAAAATTGGAGAATCTTCGGAGGAGACCAAGTTCACGACAACAATGGTGGACGGTACGAAACTTCCCATCCACGGCGAAGCATCACTACAGCTGCACATAGGGGCGCTGAGGTGGAAGCCGACGTTGCCGATCACAAATATCAAGGGTTTAGATTTCATCTTGGGGCGAGATTTCCTAAAGCGGTTCAACCCCGAGATCGACTCGGTCAACAGGAAGGCGCGCATCTACAACAACGGGAAACGAGTGGAGCTGAGAAGCTGGACGGATACAGGGAGCGTTCCTGAAAAGACACTGGCACCGTTCCAATGGACAGTGAACGAGAGTAACACGGGTTACTTAGCACTGGTTATGGCAGCAGCAGAGGAGGAGGAGAAGCTGAGTACGGAGCAACCTGCAGCAGTGAAGGAGTTTTTGGAGCAGTACAAGGATATAATGCCCGACGACCTACCCGCAGGCGTACCTCCAGCACGCACCCACGAGCACGAGATCGTGGAGGAACCAGGCGCAAAACCCGTTTCACGTGCACCATACCGACTGAGTCCGACCGAATTGACAACCATGAAGAAACAGATAGAGTATCTACTGGACAGACAAGTGATCCGCCCATCCACCTCTTCCTATGGTGCACCAGTTCTCTTCACTCCAAAACCAGACGGCAGTTTACGGATGTGTATCGACTACCGCGCACTGAACAAAGAGACAGTAAAAAACAAATACCCCATACCGCGCATGAACGACCTTCTGGACCAACTGTGTGGTGCAACGGTCTTTTCGAAGCTGGACCTACAGTCGGGTTACTGGCAGATCAAGATGGCAGACAACTTGGTCCATAAGACAGTGTTCCGTACCAGATACGGCTCCTACAAATACTTGGTGATGCCGTTCGGACTCTGCAACGCACCAGCAACGTTCCAAGCGGAGATGAACCATATCCTACGGCCCCTACTGGACGAGTG